TGCAAGTTCCAGACCAGCCTAGGCTACAAAATGAGCTCAAGGCCAGCATGAACTGCATAGCAAGACCCTGTCTCAAAAAAAAAAAAAAAAAAAAAAAAAAGACAATAAATGAATAAATAAATAAAAAATAAATAAAAACCGTACCAACCATGGTAGTGCAAGCCTGTAATCCCAGCACTCTGGAAACTGAGAGGCAGGAGGATTGCTGCAAGTTTGAGGTCAGCCTGAACTGCATAGTGAAAGAAAAGACAACCCTCCCAAAAAACCCAAAAATAAAAATGCCCAACCCCCTCCCCAAAAAAACCCCCCAAAACAGCCCAGGTGTGGTGGTGTACACCTGTAATCTCAGCATTCAGGAGGCCAGCGCAGGAGGATCACACTGAGTTTGAGGCTAGCCTGAACTACATAAGTGAGACTGTCTCAAAAACAAACCAAACGTGATACAACACAACAAAAAACCACAAAACCCTCTGCTCTGGACTCAGGTCATAAAGACCATTGAACTTGCCGGGTATGGTGGTGCACGCCTGTAATCCCAGCACTCTGGAGGCTGAGGCAGGGGGATCATTGTGAGTTTGAGACCATCCTGGGCTACAAAGTGAGGTCAAGGCCAGCCTGAACTGCATAGCTAGACCCTGTCTCAAAAAGACAAAAAAAAAAAAAAAAAACCAAAAAACAAAAAAACCACACATGTAACTTTTAAAAAGTACTATTCTTGGGCTGGGGATTTAGCTCAGTGGCACAGTGCCTGCCTAGCAAGTGCAAGGTAGTGAGTTCGATTCCTGGTACCGGGGAAAAAAAACCAAAAGCCAAAAAAACCCAAAAAACTATTTTTTTCCTTTCATTCCTTCCATACGTACACATTAAGCCTCTACTATCTATAAGCCATGCTCTGATAATTCAGTAGTGAACACGGTGGTCCACACATGGGAATAATTTTTCTTCTTCTCTTTTTTTTTCTTGGCAGTATTGGATATTGACCATGACCCTAAGCATGCTAAGCACATACCCTGCCCCTGAGCTACATTCCCAGCATACAAGAAGAATCATTTCTTCTTTTTTAGCACTTTATTTTTGGGTACTAGGATTTGAACTCAGGACCTTATGCTTGCCAGGCAGGTGCTGTGCTGCTGAATTATAGCCCCATCCCCAGAATAATTTCTTTTTTTTTTTTTTTTTTTTTTTTGTCTTTTTGAGACAGGGTCTCACTATGCAGTTTGGGCTGGCTTTGAGCTTACTTGGTAGCTGAAGCTGGCCTCGAACTCACAAGGATCCTCCTGCCTCAGCCTGCCAACTGCTGGGATTACAGGCATGTGCCACCATGCCCAGCTTTTTAATTTCTTTTTAATTAATTAATTAATTAATATTTTTTTTCTTTTTTTTTTTTTTCCAGTACCGGGAATCGAACTCACGACCTCACATTTGCCAGGCAGGCGCTGTGCTGCTGAGCTAAATCCCTAGCCCCTATTTTGTCTTTTTGAGACAGGGTCTCACTATGCAGTTTAGGCTGGCCTTGACCTCACTTTGTAGCGCAGGCTGGTCTGGAACTTGCAACAATCCTCCTGCCTCAGCCTCCTGAGTGCTGGGTCATTTCTTTAAAAAAAAATTAAGTGTATAAACTAGTGGCTTTTGTTTTGGCATGTACATATTCATACATCTACTTAGGTTAGGTTATCCCTCCATTTTTTTTTTTTTTTTTTTGGTTCAGGGAATTAAACTGAGGACCTTGCACTTGCCAGGCAGGCACTGTGCCACTGAGCTATATCTCTGGCCCCTACTCTTCTGTTTTCGTTTTTTTTGGTTTTTTTTTCCAGTACCAGGAATCGAACTCACTACCTCACACTTGCCAGGCAGGCGCTGTGCTGTTCAGCTAAATCCCCAGCCTCCTACTCTTCTGTTTTTGATTTTTTTTTTCCAATACATTTAAGAGAACAAAGAAATGAAGTGATTACAAAATGTATAACATGCTAAAGTGCTCTCTTGAAAATGGTCAGATAGAAATTAGAGAATGCTGGGCATGGTGTGGCTCATGCCTGTAATCCTAGTACTGGGGCGGCTGAGGCAGGAGGATCATTGTGAGTTCTTTTTTTTTTTTTTTTTTTTTTTTTTTTTTTTTTTTTTTGTCTTTTTGAGACAGGGTCTCGCTATGCAGTTTATGCTGGCCTTGAGGTCACTTTGGAGCCCAGGTTGGTCTTGAACTCGCAATGATCCTCCTGGCTCAGCCTCCCAAGTGCTGGGATTACAGGCGTGGGCCAGCAAGTCCAGCCGTCATGAGTTCGAGACCAGCCTGGGCTCCAAAGTGAGCTCAAGGCCAGCCTGAGCTGCATAGAGAGACCTTGTCTCAAAGACCAAAAAAAAAAAGAGAGTAATTGCCATTGTGGGTGCATGTGATTTACATGGTGAGAGAGGGGGTGGGGATTTAGCTGGGGCTGGGGATTTAGCTCAGTGGCACAACGCCTGCCTGGCAAGCGCAAGTTCTTGAGTTCGATTCCCAGTACCGGAAAAAAACAAAAAAACCAAAAACCAAAACAAAAAAAAATGTGTTGAGAGAGGACCTCACTTAGGAAAGGACAAACTGAGACTTGCTTGCATGATGAAGTCAGTGTTTTTTTTTTAAGAGTCAGTGTTAGCAGCAGTCTATTCAGTGGCCCAGAGGCTGGAATTTGGAAACAGACATAGAAACTGACAGAAACAGATAGCGTGGCCAGAGATGAGCAGAGTAGGATGCTGATGGAGGGAATGAGTGATGGGTTATTTTAAGTAGGGCAGCGACATGATTAGATTTAATTTTTTTTTTTTTTTTTTTTTTTTGAGACAGTGTCTGGCTGTGTAGTTCAGGCTGGCCTTGAACTCACTATGTAGCCCAAGCTGCCCTCGAACTCGTGGCAATTCTGCCTCAGCCTTCCAAGTGCTGGGATTACAGTACATTTTAAGAGTACAATATGGCTGCCTTCTTTTTCCAGTGCACAATAGTCGTTATTGCCCACATAGATAGCAAATGTTAGCATTTCCCCTTGGAACTTGCCTGTTCCATTGAGAAAAAACCTCAGACTCTTCTCTAGTGGCTGCAAGTTGGACCTTGGTCCTGAGAGAAAATAGAACTCTTTCTCAGTAGCAGTTGGGATCCTTTCTTTCCTAGGAGTTAATGACTAAGTGGAGGCGGAATGAGAGTAAAGGCCCTGCGGTGAGAAGGAATCTGGCTCACTGGATAATCTGAAGGAAGCTGAGAATGTGGGACAGCTGGATGCGTGAGAATGAGAAAGAAGCAGGTTAAATCCAGGTTTTGAAGAGCCTGGTAGGTAAGGGTAAGATTTAGATCTTAATCTGGAGAGGAGGGGCAAACAGCCTTTGAGCAAGGAGGTGGCGTTTTGAAAGCCCTCACAGTGTATGAAGGGCGGTTTAGAAGGGGTCAGAGTAGAGGGGTGGAGACTGCCGTCACTTAGGCGAGGTGATGATGGCCTAGACCCGAGTGGTAGTAGAAGGATGGAGAGAAGTGGGAGGCTTCGACGTGTATGCAAGAGGCAAAATTAACAGCGGGTGGATAGTAACCAGTCAAGGGCTTCGCTTGATCTCTGGTTACAGATAAGTAGAGACTTCGTGCTCCTGACCCGGCGCAGGCCTGGTTCCCGCGTCTCAAGCCAGTGGGCGTGGTCTGCGAGAGCCGTCGCCCCGGTGATCCGGTGGGGCGGGGCCGAGGGCGGGGCCGCTGGGGCATGCGTCACCCAGTGGTGGCGATGGTGCGTGTGTGGGGGGCGGGGGATACGCTGGGCGCGTCCCTGGGGTCACGTGGTGCGCAGCACGCAGAGTCCTTCTGTCGGTTGGTCCTGGAGCGGCGCAGCAGGAGCGGGGCCGTGAGGTGAGCTCGCGGCGAGGCGCAGCGAGGCGAGGCGAAGCGGGCTGGCTGGAGCCGGGTCGGGGAGGGCCAGCGCCGCGCGCGCGCTGTGCAGGCGGGAATGGTGACGGACGCCACCGCAGCCTGGTCCCCTGCCCGGCCCCGCTCTGTGCCTGGCCCCGTTCGCCCAGCCCGGAGGGAGGCCCAGGGACCTCTGCTGAGAGCGTGGCGGGCGTGCGAGCTCCGCCCAATCCCAAGGGCTCCCCGTAGGAGTGATGGCGGCTGCGGCCAATCAGCACCGCTCGAGGGGGCTGGGCCCTGGGGTGTGGGCCCGGGGCGCGGAGCGGGCGGTATTGGGGGTGGGAGTGTTGCGCGCCAGGGCCGGACTCAAAGCTGTGTGGCCCCTGAGAACGCTATCACCAGTTGTTGCTGTCACCTTGTGCTTTGGTTCTGCGCTTTCTCTTATCACCTTTTATCTTATTCTGGGGAGCACACCCCTTTTTTAAGACCCTGACGTGGGAGTGACCCCTTTATAGTTTTGAAAATCTGGACGACGCACCCCCTTTCTTAAGGTGTAACACTGAGATTTTCTGTTTCTAAGTTCACCCAAATTGAGGGTGTACCCCTTTTCGCTTGCACCCCCGAACTGGGAGCGCACACCGTTTTTCAAGTCTCCAGTGTGGATACTACTTTTCCAATTTGGGGGTTCCTCGTTAGCAGGTCCCTGAAATACGAGGTTCGTAATCAAAAGTTTTGAGTAGTTTCTTACATCCCCACAACTCCAAGGAAGAATGCGTTTTCCAGGCTCCAAATCTGATGACATGTTTCCAAAATTTCCTAGGTTTTAAAGGCACTTTTTCAGCCTTCTTGGATCTACTAAAAGCGAGGTCCAAATCTTCACCTTTACGGACACATTTTCTATTAAACAAGGGAATTCACTGCCTTTTCTTCTTTTTTTTGGTACTGGGAATTGAACTCAGACCTTGTGTTTGCAATGTAGGCAATGTGCCACCAAGCTATATCCCCGGCCCTTTTCATTTTTTGTTTCTTTGGGACAGGGTCTTTTTATAGGCCAGGCTGACCTGGAACTCGTGATCCTCCTGTCTCAGCCTCCCTGGTGTTAGGTTTACAGGACTGGGCCACCATGCCTGGCTAATTCTTTTTTTTTTTTTTTGAGACAGGGTCTGGCTATTCAGTTCAGCATGGCCTTGAACTCACTTTGTAGTCCAGGCTGGTCTCGAACTTGAAACGATTTTCCTACCTCAGCCTCTGAAGTGCTGGGATTACAGGCATGCACCACCATGCCCAGCTAGTTCATTGTTTTTCCAGTCATTCTGTCCGTGGGGCTGCACCCTTTGGTGAGTTCTCCAAATTACCTTGTGTCCTGGGGGAAGACTCATTTTCTTCTCAAGAGTGTATTTTACATTCTCAAGAGTGTATTTACTTCCTGTTCCCGTTAAATGTACTAAATGCTTTTCTTTTTAGTATGAAATGCTCAACTGTAGGAGTGTAGCTACCTTCCTGCTGCTGCTGCAGCTGCTTTACTGCTTCTCTTTTTTTTTTTTTTTGGTGACAGGGTTTTGCTATGTAGCTCAGGCTGGCCTCCAGCTGGTAGTGATCTTCTGCCTCCAGAGGCTGGGATTACAGCCGTGTGACACCACGCCCGATGAGTGTTCTATTCTGCTCTTTTTTTTCCCCCTCTTTTTAAGACGGTCTGGCTTTGTAAACTTTGTAGCCCAGGCTTTTCTTGAACTGGAAAGGATTCTTCTGCCTCAGCCTCCGGAGTACTGGGGTTAGGGCATGCGCCACCACGCCCGGCTTGAGTGTTGTGTTCTTTAAATCTTTTTTTTTTTGTTTGTTTGTTTTGTTTTTTTTTTTTTCCTCCGGTACCGGGAACCGAACTCACGACCTTGCGCTTGCCAGGCGTGTTGTGTTCTTAAATGTACATTCCTACCCTTTTTAGCTTTTCTGCCACTGAAGACATTTTCATTCTTCAGTTTCCTTCTCTCTTTGGAACTACATTCCCCTTTAGATACTCTTCCAGTCTGGTCAGTTTACCCATATCCCTTTCTTTCCTATAGTAAGTGCTTATCTTTGTTCTATACAGCACTTTCTCTCTGCTTCTGTCACCTTTTCTTTTCTTTTTTTTTTTTTTTTCTCATTATGTAGTTCAGGCTGGCCTCAAACTCGTACTATTTCTCATGTCTCAGCCTCGCAAGTGCTGGGATTACAGGCGTGTGCCATCACACCTGGTTTGCTTCTGTCACCTTTTTTGAGCACACTTCTATAGTTAAACCTTCTGAACTGCCTCCCCCAGGATCCCTTTCCTAAAGGGGCGCCTGCATGCAGCCTTTCAGGTCTTCTTTATCTTTCTGGAAAGAGGAAGTGTCCATTCTGGCTTGCCCCATGCGCAGGTATTCTGCTTATTGAGTGGCTAGAGATTCTCTTCTCTTCCTCTTGCTCTGGAGGTGGGCTCTGCATGGACTTTCAGGCTGCCTGGTGCTGGGTTCAGACTGGAAGGGAATCCTCTTGCATATCTTTTGTTATTCACAGGATTCCAGGCTCCTAGTTGTTTGCTTCCTGTAAGGTTCTAGCCAGGTGTGCTTGTTTTTTCCCTATACTGGAAAGAAAAGCCCTTAAGCATGTTTTCTAGTGCTGTACTGCTCCTAGCCCACTTAAAGCCTCTTCTCCTACACAAATCTTCATACATTTATCAAGAAAAGAGGTGATTTGGGCTGGGAATGTCTCTTGGTAGTGGAGTGCTTGCTCAGCCTGTGAGAAGTCCTGTGTTCGTCCTCAGCACTGAGTCATTTGAAGGAATCCCTGGGCTGCTCATATTTTAAACTAATTTTTTTACTGTGTGCTTTTGATGTGTGTTAAGTCCGTTTATTTTGGGGAATTGACACGTATTCATTAATCATTTTTTTCTTCCCCAGCCTCTTGTCCCTTGGACATTCTTTGTTTTTGTCCCTAGGGTACAGATTGGGGTGGATACTTATCTGTCTCCATTGTATTCCACATGTCTTTCAATCTTTGCCCCCAATCCCGCCTTGGAAAATCTGTAAATATCTGGCACAGTTTTGTGTCTTTGGAGCCTCTTAGTAGTTTTTTTTCTTTTGTATTTCCCTTTCCCTTTCCATATCTTTCTCAGGGCTTCTCCAACTGGGTTAATTTCTCCACAGCTGGAATCAGTGCTTAAGGGATAATAACATCTCTGATCTTTCTCTCTTCTAGGGAAGTACAGAGGGGGAAAGAGTTTGGGTCTGAGAATCCGAACCAGTAGGACAAGGCAGAAATATTTCATTTTCAAGAAGTTCTTCTGAATCTCATTTGGAAACTGGGTATTTACCAAGGACCTGCTTCCTAGGGGTGCTGGGGGATTTAATGATGCTCCCAGGAACCTGCAGGAATTAATAGGGCTTGGAGGGAGTGCCCTGAACACAGTATTGGAGCTTGAATAAAGTTGGCCATTATTGTGTTTTCAAAACAGCTAGTTTCTCATTCTTTTTTTTTGGCACGTGGAATTGAACTCAGGATCTCATGCTTGCCGGGCAGGTGCTGTACTGCTGAGCTGTATCTCTGCCCCTATTTTCTATTTCTTGTGCATGAAAGCCCTAGAACCAAGCTGTGCTATTTCAGGAAGTGAAATAGACCCCACATTTAAATCACATTTATTAGTGAGTACTAAATTTATTTTTAAAAAATTAGGTCTATCTCAGGAGTAGCTAATAAAATGTGGTCTACTGAAGGGAGCAGATACTTTTCTGTATGTACTTGGCTGTTTGGTTTATCTCTATACTGCTGGGCAGTGCACCCTTAAAATATTCTATACCATTGCTTCTCAAACTTTTTTTTGGCTTTTTGAGACAGGGTCTCCCTGTGTAGTTCAGGCTGGCTTTGAACTCATGGCAATCCAGTAATCCTCCTGCTTCACCCTCCCTAGTGCTGGGATTACAGGTGTGCGGCAGGACCCCTGGCCTTGAACTACTATTGAGAGTGTTTCTTACATAAAGCCAAATATTCGTTGGTACAGACAGAAAGGTGGTGGTTAGCTTTATGCAGGAGTGTTATCTATTTGTTTTGGTATTTTTTTTTTTATCTTTTCTTCTGGTACCAGGAATTGAACTCACGACCTTGCACTTGCCAGGCAGGTGCTTTTTTTTTTTTTTTTTTCCCCAGCCCCCCAGGCAGGTGCTTTGCCGCTGAGCTAAATCCCCAGCCTCCAGGAGTGTTTTCTATTCTTCCTTTATCCTGATGTACATCCCTT